CTCCCCCCCCCCCCCCCCCCCCCCAAAAAAAAAAATTTTATTCCTGTTATCATTTACACACCCTTGTATTTGTTCCAAACCTTGTTATCTTTTATCTGCAGAACAGAAAAATGCGGGTAACCAGTAATGTTTACCGCTAGATTGCATCGTATGGGCTAAAAAGATCTTCTTTTATGTTCCACAAAAGAAAGAATGTCAAACAGGTTTGGAATGAGATTAGGTTGAGTGAATATTAACAGGTTTTTCATTTTTGGGTGGATTATCCTTTTAAGAATCTTCAAAATATCAAAAGAAAATTGTGATGTATGTCCTCAGACAATATTAGTCTCAGACTGTGGCACACCACAAGTTGCACTTGTTCCGTTCATAGCTTGCCGAGTTTCCTGTGCATTTGAGTCGTACTGTTAATGAATTTACTTCATCAACTTGGATTACAGCATCTCTCACAACAGAATATTTCCCATTACAGTAAAAAGCAGTTTAAGAGAATAGTGACATGGAAACACATTTCACAAAAACATATTTGTTTCTTTGTTTGGTTTGAAATAAGGAATCGATAACAAAATGTATGAAGCATCAAGACAAAAGCCATATATTTTTTTTTGACTGTAACCTCCGAAAAGGTTTAATTTTATATACACGGCTATTTTGGAATGGTTGTCGGTGAAGAAAATAGGCCATTTACTCACATGATGGTGTGGTTACAACAGCATGCAGGGACTAACAGCTGAAACTAACCAGCCACATTTTGAACTTCCTGTCATGTTTGTAGTTCCCTACACTCTCTGAAAAAAGGGTACAAAAGCTGTCATTGCATTGGCACATTTGTAACTTTTTTACCCCTAAAAGGTGCATATTAGTACCTAGATGGTACATATTAGTACCTTTTGAAAGGGAACACCCCAGTGACAGACACTGGACCTTTATTTCCTTTTAGTTCTGAGCAGAGTAATTATTAGGGGTTCAAGCGCTTAGCACTGAAACCCTATTGTAATTGTTAGAATGGTCTCGGATCAGTGATCTCCGTGTAAAGCTGATCGTGCAGACAAAACCATTAAAAACTTGGAGGGATGGTAGTACTCACACCGCCTACAACGTCATCAAGGCTCGCCTCAATTGGCCTGACGGGGGTGATACAGCAATCAAAAGAACAAAATTGCTTGTAACTTTGAAACCGGCAGTCGCAGGCTCAAGTGTCTCATGTCTTTGGAATCGTTGGCTCACGCCGGACAAAAGGCATGCCTCAGATTCGATCGTGAGCCAGGCAAAATTTTCAGGTATTTTGGATTTTTTGAAAACTTTACTTTTGCGAACTAGCCCTAGGTTTTTCGTTCGAATGGAACCAAACCAGTGCAGGAAGATTCCCTAGGGAGTGAATACCAATAATTATCAAAAAAGTTTAACTTTCAACTCACCCTTGCAGAAGGGGTGCCAAAAAGTTTGAAAGGGGCAGGGACACTTTTAGTAAAATGCCTATAACTCCTGAAAGGAATGAGGCATCTTTGCCAAACTCAGAACACTGATTCTCAATCTGACGTCACAGGAAAAACTTGGCCACTTGGTGGCGCTATAAGAGGGAAAAACATAAAAATGTCTATCGCTGCGCAACCATTTGTCCTATCAACGGTCTTGGTCCAAAGTACCAAAAGTGTCAACAAGGACATTTGAGTATCTCAAAAAACATGGCTGCCATTGGCTGACGAAATTTGAGCACCTATTAGGCAAGGTTAACAGAGGCCGATCGGATTGAAACTCGGTGGACCTGTTTGACTCACGGTCCCAAAGGTCTGTAAGAAATTTGAAAGAAATCGGCCACTGGGGGATGATATTGCATTTTTCAAGGGCGTAAATGATTGTACATTGCATGGTTTTTCACATATACGTACGATATTCATATCATATGACAGAACTCTTTGCCAACTTTGCCTCTAGTACCACTTCTGTCAATCAAATTGTTTGTTAAATGATTGAGAAGATGTAATAAACCTACTTTTGCGAGCTAGTCCTAGGTTTTTCGCTCAATCTGGGGAAAAAAAACACTACAGTATAATTCTCTGGATTCTGTAGGTCAATAATTATTTAAACAAATGTTGAAATTTACCCTTTGGAAAGCTATGACGGGGTCCTTTAGAAAAGGGGCCTATCCAAATGAACCCAAAATCCTATAAAGCCTAAAAAAAAACTAAAAACGTCACAAACCTGGTGAGCACATGCGACAGGTGATTCTAAACAAGCATGCAAAGTTTTAATTCTAAACAAGAATGCAAAGGAGATCGGGAAACAGGAGGCGCTATAACAGTCATAAATGTTAAAAAACATCATATTTATGTGGTAAATTACCTGGATTTGCCAAAAATACTTTATAAATCATTGATTTAGGTGTTTACAGGCTTGCTAAATAATATGTAATTACTTTTTCCTTATGTGCTTAAATGCCTTAAGAGCTTGAACCCTGGTAATCGCTGCTTGCAGCTATATTTATTATTTATTTTTTGCTACAGGGGTCACTGACCTGGATCTGGGATAAGGAGACTTGGGTGGACGATCTTAAGGGCCATTACCTGCATTTCAACGTTTCCATTAAAGTTCTGGCAGGAGTCTTCCAGCCGTCCAAGAGTGAGTTATCTATTTACATCTACATGCATGTAGATCAGTGATGTCAAACTCTGCTCTTAGAAACACAAACCTGTCTTTTTTTAAATAGCCTGAAGGATTTGATTAGCTGGATCAGTTGCCTTTACTTAAGGTTGAAGCTAAACTTTGCAAGGGTTTGGCCCTCCCAGAATTAAGTTTGACACTCTTGATGTAGATGTTATTTTTAGGTTCAACAGATCTAGAAGATTATGCTACAGCATCACTAAAGGAATTGCAATTAAATGTGGTGTTCATTTTTTTATACTGCATAAATAATAATATTTTTGCAAAATAAACACATTTATGCAGTGCAGCCTATAAGGGGCATTGCCACTTTTAAACGTATTATTTATGCACATGTAAACAAAATGGATGTCTTCAGTCATTGCATCAAGTTTTGCACTATATTTGTTTTTAAGTGTGAGACTGCTTCCTGTTTGCCACTGTCTGGAAACACTGTGAAAATCACACACCTGCAAGTTTTGCAATTTATTTGAGAATATATATTGAATTAGAGGTAAGTATATACAGTGGTGTGAAAAAGTGTTGGCCCCCTTCCTGATTTCCCTTCAAAAGTGTGGGGAGTCTGTAAATATTTTTTTATTATTATTTATTTTGTTTTTGAAACATTCTGTTCATTAAGGCAACATTTATTAGATCAACAATACAGTAAAATATGTATTATTGTAAAATATTATTACAATTTAAAATATTTGTTACATGTTCCCTCTGTTGCCTTGTGTTTGGACTTTTATGTTGTGTTGGACTGAATCAGCTTTGTGGTCATCTTGTAGTTGTAGCAAATTAAAATGGGGTATAATAAATGTAAAATATTTAGATCAGCTTTCAGAAGTAACTGCAGCAGAATTAATATTACAATTAAATAGTCTGTTTGTCCACTGAGGAGACTAAAATATAAAAATACTTTTTAAATATAAAATAGTAAAGTCATTTATTAACTCTAGGAAACTAATCTCTCAGCCATTACACAATAGCTTTTCTCACTGTATACAATACTGCCAGTACAAGAGCATTTGGCAAGATCAGCTCGTTAAAGGGACTTTGTTTTGCAAGCAGTGATGACAGAATCAGTGACTAATAAGAGTATGATGCAAGTTATGGTAACACACCATATACATGGGCTCATTTTTGAGCCTATCCCACTCATTTCCTGAACAATAATCTGATTACTTTTTATCGATCTGGACTCACTGAACCACATTGCACATAATGCACATTGTTCTGTGATGGTTCTCAAGGGACATTTAATGAGTTTGTGGAGTGAACACTTGTGCTGAGCAGATCCTCCTTGACTGTGAGAGAGGTGGAGGAGGAGCCCACTATAACCACTATACACCTACAGCTTTGGTGGTCACAGAGCTTGTCTCGGCCAGTGGACCTGTTTTGGGGCAGACGAGACTGGCATCCAGTGTGGTGGATCCGCTGCTGATGTTGCTGTGGGCACCGGCTCCAACCTAGTATCCAGCTTTGCCCTGGTCTCCATCTCTGCTCTGGACTCCAGCTCCACCAGTTCTGCACTGGTCTTCAGTTACACTCTGGTTTCCAGCTCCACTCTAGTTTCCTGCTTCGCCCTTGTCTCCAGCTCCACTGGCTTCCTCCTGGTTTCTAGCTCCGCCCTATCTCCCTGCTCTACCCTGGTCTCCAGCTCCGCCCTGGTCTTCAGTTACACTCTGGTCTCCAGCTCCGCCCTGGGTCTCTGCTGCGCCCTTGTCTTCAGCTCCACCCTGGTTCCCTGCTTCACCCTCGTCTCCAGCTCCATCGGCCAGTCCCTGGTCTCCAGCTCCACCCTATCTCCCTGCTTCGCCCTCATCTCCACCTCCACCCTATCTCCCTGATTTGCTCTGGTCTCCAGCTCCACCCTGGTTCCCTGCTTTGCTCTGTGCCCAGTTGCATAAAGCACCTTAAGTTTTTCCCTTAAGTATGAGACTTAAGGCGTGATTTCCCCTTACCTAAGGGAATTATTTAAGGGTGTTGCATATAATCCCTTAAACACTTCCCTTAGCAAAGGGAAACCGTTAAGTGTTTCACGACAGTGACCCAGGTTTTGCCGTTAAAAAATCGTCTGTTGCCATGGTCACGTTATTTGTTAATGCAGATAGCGATGTAAGTTTTCACAGTAAATAATATAACATGGATAAGGAAAACAAAAAAGAAAACCAAATATAAAAGAGAAGGACCAGACGAGACAGAAACTCAAATTGATAATTCACTCAAAACTGAAAAATAATTTACTCACCCTCGTGTCAGTTCAAACCCATAAGACTTTTATTCATCCTTGGACAACAAATAAAGATCTCTCATCATTTCTGTCCATGTAGAGGTTTTCAGGGACTAGTGTGAATAAATACATATTTAAATGCAAAGAGACAAGATAGTCTATGCATGACATTTTATTCGCATCCAAAACAATGTGAACATTAAAGCACTAAACATTCATGCAGTGTGTGTTTCATTCATACTCGAAGCCGGAGGGCACTCTCGCGCTGAAAGTCCAAACCGGATACATAGAAGTAGCCTATCTAATAAGCTAAATAAGCAAAAAGCAGAACCGTAAACACAAACTCATGATTGCAACGATATATGGTTTATGTGTGTTTTTCAAGTCATCTCCAGCTAATATGTAGGAAAGTACAGGAATAAAATATTATGGAATATAAATTTGCTCTCGAGTGTGACGCACACACGTTTGATCTAATTAACGTTATGTGCTGTATGTAATTTGATCAATATTTATATGTGAATAAATGCGTAAATTAAAACCTGTTTAACATAAAGTGGCCGATCATGACTTGTAGAAGACTTTTGTGTAACACTTAAGGTGACATTTTCCAACCCTTATGTTATCTTTAGGAAAATGGCAGTTAAGGGGCTTTATGCAACACTTATTGGGTTTAAGGGATACTTAAGAGAAATTCTAAGGGTTTATGAGGTTTCACCTAAAGAAACCCTTAAGTAACATAAGGGATATTTTATGCAACACCCTTAAGTGTAAGGGAAATTTAAGGGTGATCTTAAGTGAAAATTACATTTAAGGTGCTTTATGCAACCGGGCACTGGTCTCCAGCTCCACCCTGGTTCCCTGCTTTGCTCTGGTCTCCATCTCCACCCCGCCTCCCTGCTCCGGCCTGGTCTCCAGCTCTGCCCTGCTCTCCAGCTCTGCCCTCACTCCCTGCTCCGGCCTGGTCTCCAGCTCTGCCCTGCTCTCCAGCTCTGCCCTCACTCCCTGCTTCTCCCTTGTCTCCAGCTCCATTGGCTTCTCCCTGGTCTCCAGCTCCACCCTGGTTCCCAGCTTCGCTCTGGTCTCCAGCTCCACCCTGGTTCCCGGCTTTGCACTGGTCTCCAGCTCTACCCTGGTTCCCTGCGTCTCTCTGGTCTCCAGCTCCGCCCTAGTTCCCTGCTTCGGTCTGGTCTTCAGTGCCACCATATCTCCCTGCTTTGCTCTGGTCTCCAGCTCCACCCTGGTTCCCTATGCCACCATATCTCCCTGCTTCGCTATGGTCTCCAGCTCCACGTTGGTTCCCTGCTTCCCTCTGGTCTCCA